TAGTCCACTTTAAGTATATCAAAGGTTTGTTTGTTTATTTGTGAGGCAGCGTAGTGGAATCAGGCTCTCTTCAAAATAATCAAAGTGAAGAAACTTGCATTTTTCCACAGGTTTGTGAATTTTTATCAATTTTTTTTTTGTGATCAACATCTTTCATGCCCATTTAAAAACCCATTTCTGTGGGGATTTTTCAGAAAAACGTTGATTAATGACACAAAAAATGTAAATTTTCAGTTACCTCGGACTCTTACACGAAGGAAATAACTAATCTTTGGCGACCATTTTCTCACTAATTTCATCTCTGAAAACAGGTGACCCCCATCCCTTTCATTCGCAAATATCTCGACTTGTATTCAAGATAGATGGATCTTTTTTTCATCCAAGTAAATACTAGTGAACAAGCTTTAAGATGATGCCAATAACTCTACATGCCCAAATATTGACGGGAGCCTGATTCCACCACACTGCCTCACATTTTGGTTTTTGGTTTGTTTTTTCTGTGCGAGCTCTTTCGTTCGGTGGACGTTTTGAATCGCGAATTCAAGTAGCACTCGAAAAAACAGCAACCCCAAAACGGCACAGAGAGCCATCTTTTTACTAAGTAGATGAACAGTGGAACCTTTCTATCAGTTAATTTCTTTAGACCTTATTGTTGCGGGCGCCGTAAAACCCTATACTACATACATACAGACCTTATTGAAACCTTTATTTGAAAGCAGAACGACCGTCTCCAACTTTCCTCTCCCCATTAGGTTATCTTGAGAAATTTTTTCGTGGATCACTTTGAACTGTGACATATAGAAAAATGATCTCCCGCTGTTGAATAATGATCAGACGAATTGTCATCAAATGGGGAAAATCTGGTTAGAATTGTCAACTCCATGGTTCTTATCACTCAAACATTGGAAGCTGTCGAACTAAAATACACCGTTTTATAGCAACCCCCACCCCCACCCCTTTCGAAAGCGAATTAATTTAAGGCAAAGTGGTCGTTTGAAAGGTAATTTCAATTTAACACAAAAAAAACAACCAATGTACGGAGCAGATTCCTGGGGTATGCTACACGAGTACATTCAGATTTCGTTATCTATTAAACTGTTGCTCTATGGTATTATTTCACACGCTGGGAACGGGAAATCTCGGCCTTTGAAAGTTCATCATTGCTTGGAAACTTGCATCACATGAAACAAAAACTCCTCATTGTTCGCCAAAATGGGATCTAGATACAAAAATGGAGAGTTGTCATGTTTGTTTATAAGCAAAATCCCAGTTCTGCAAACTGGACAATATTAAATCAACGTTGGGGTTATTGCAGAATTTCTAAAGATATGCTCCTGTCTACTGTGTTAAATGTTAATGGAATAATTTCCCTGTCCGTCTTTCTGATCCACTCTTTTCAATCAGATTGTGTGTCTCTGTCTTCATTCTACTCTCTGTTACAGTCCTCTCTCTCAATACTAACCTACTTTTACTTTTTCATCCTCTGTTGCCGTTAAGCGTTGAGGGGAGATGCAGTTTTCTATGGTAGGTCAGCTCCGCAGCTCTTTCAGTTGTGATATTATGTTTCTCTTTGACACCCTCGATCCACCTTTTGCTTGGCCTTCCTCTTCCTTTATCCTTAGTGCTTGGTGTTGTAGGCTCTCGGGGCTGGGTAGCAGGCGGCCAAACTATTTTATTCTCTGTTTTTCTATGTAATGCAGGCAGGACTCTTACTTCTTCGTTTCTCTGCCTGTCTCGTCTTGTGATGTTATGCGTTTTGTGGAGATATTTCATTTCGCATGCGGTGGTTTTGCTTTCATTGATTTTATTTAACGTCCAGGTCTAGCATGGGTAACATAACGTTGGTATGAATATTGAGGTGATGAGCTGTCTCTTTGTGTCCATGGAGATGTTTGGGTGAGATAGGAGGGGTGCGAGCTGGTAGGTGACAGCGTTGGCTTTTGGGGTTCGCATTTCTATTTCTCTGTCTATTGACCCGTTTTCAGAAAAAGTACTGCCAATATCAAGACAAAATCAACCCTTCCCTAGAGGATTCTATCCCGCGCGATTGGTGGGTAAGGGGGGGGGGGGATACTTACCACTATAAATGCCGATGACATACTCGTTTTATTGCAAATGTATAACATAATATTATGTGACGAAATTATGATTTCAATACGAATCTCAGTTTGTGGACGTCAAGGAGACGCTCAGCATCCGTACAGCTAGGTAAAGAGAGGGTGAATTGTTCCCTTTATTGGCGTATCATTCTGGGCAAAAGGGTCATGGACCCAATTTCTATGTTATACGGAACCATTGGCAACAAAGACAGAACATAATAGTAAATGCCCCTCACCGTGAGCTACACAACTGTTGCAGATGGTGTAGATTGCACTTTTTAAATTATTTTTTTAATTTTTGAGGCTCAGTCACAATCTTTTAATTAGTAACATTCAGTTTCCGAGCCCCTAAGTTAAAACAATTTTGAGTTAGCTTTATTAGAGTCTAATTTTCGGCTTATTCATATTCCAGTAATTTTTCTTTCTATTTAGTGTTGTTTTTTGCATCATAGTTAAATTAGGTATCTTGACTATACTAGTTAAAGGATTTGGTAACAAAAACAAAAAAACCAACAAACAAACAAGCAAACAAACAAACAAGCAAACAAACAAATAGACAACCCCTTCCCTAAAAAAAACATAATCTTGAGCAAGAAAAAATTAACAGTGCAATTGTGTATGACCTTTCAACTGACACGATGTTGGATCTAAGCACGTGAAGGATGTAACATTTCTTAGACAATATCTCAAACTCAAAAC